TTTGGAAGCCATCATGATTAAGGCCTGCTGGGAAAAAAGAACCCCCAAATAACATCACATCTCTCAGTAGGGGATAGGTTTTAAAAATTAAAATATCCAGTGCTTAGAGATGCATTCCAAAATAGCGGCTCAACGAAGAAGGGCACGCCATCCCTTAACCGATCCCTAAAAAATAGCTGCGATCTTACGAACATAGAAGCAACTACCACACAATATAAACAAATAAAATCAGCTAGTTTAAGTGGAGTTGTTCAAAAACCGGCACAAATACACCTCCTTGTGAAACATTCAAAAATTGTCCCAACCAAATGCTTGTCCAAACACCGACACAAATACACCTCCTTGTGAAACTACTTGTCCAAACACCGACACAAATACACCTCCTTGTGAAACATTTACAATTTCGTCCCCACCAAAGATTAGTTGACACATCAACCTTAAGTCAGGGAGAGGCCATGTATAACATCCCTGCAGGTGGGGGATCGGGAAATGAATACACCTGCTGCTACCCACTGCATGTATCGTAAGATGCTACTAATGTAGGAACTCCCTGCAGAATTGGGGATATGCTTTTGAGTCCTCTACTTGGGGACACAAAAGCGGCCAAAATAAATCTGCTGCACCAATTTCAACATTTGGGATCTTTATCTTTCTTTCTTCTTCTAAATACCTTTCGTGTTTTACACGTTATATTCCAGGGATTACGCTCCTTGGGGTGCAGAGGGCGTATGCGAGCGTAATCCCGGATTATCGAAGATGCCCCTCTCCCTTGATCTGCTCCTATATATTTGAACAAAGTGTCTAGGTACGAACTGTGAAACATTCACGTGTTGATGTAGCGTCAGCATTAGGTCTCAGGGTCACCAACATCACAGCCCGATGTATACACAGGTAATATTTACCTGTAGAAAGTCAATATTGAAATCTACATATTTAATTATCTATAAATAAATGTTTTGTTAGAATATAGATCTGCATTCCAGTAACTACAATTGTACCCATCATGAATAAGGGAATATACTA